AGGAAACAACTCAAAATTGAGACTACCAAAAGTGAAAACAGAAACTGGACGCAAGATGTTCTCGTTCCAAGGAGCTCTGGTTTTTAACGAACTGCCAGTAGATTTGAGGAATGAGACATCACTTTTACGTTTTAAGCAAAAGTGTAGAAACTTTTTTATGAAAACTGATTAGTGGATTTTTAAATATTTTTATATAAATGCTGAAGCCAAAAACTTTTTAGTTATTATATAAGTATAGAACAGATTATTTAGTCTAAACAGGTCCTTGAGTGATAGCAGCTATTCCTTTAGCTGACCAAGTTTAACCTGTATAAATATGGTATACTATTATTATTATTATTATGGGTAACCCTGCTTATGACGTAACATGCATATCCGCCAAAATGCAAGATGGCGGAATGCTCCGTGATTTGTGATTTTTTCTGTCAAAATATCTCAAGAAATGATAAAGTTACGCAAAATCGGTAAAGGAGATTTACATATAATTTTGAACGTTCTTCCAAATGAAATAAAAAAAATATGTTGCCATATCCCTTTAATCAATGCTTGTATATCGGACAAGGAATTGTCTTGATTTACATAAACTGAAATATATTTATGCTTTGATTTTCTCAGCATGGACAATGTTTATTTTTAAAATTATTTGGCCAATGAACTCATTAGTTGGGTCGTTTTTTTAAGTACTTAAAACCTAATATTTCGCATCCGATCTTTATCTGATATACAAACTGTCGCCTTCGGGTCGAGTTTGTAACTATATCAGATAAAGCAGGCATTAAAAAAGCGTGTTTTTGACACGCTTTGTGTCCTTGTAAAAGGAAAATGTTTCGTTGTAAATTGAAAAGTGTGTATTTGGGACATGCACTTATGTACTTTGTCTTGGGCGAAAGGTCCAGAAAATCCATTCCCATTCATTTCCCACAGCAATATTGTTTAAAGTAATCATGTGTTTATTGGCTGATGATAGCCAGATATATTTTTCTGGTTTATATATCTCTGGTTTTTCTGTTTATAACATATGTCAAGAAACGCCTATAAAATTACCAGTGGCTTTGATTATTTTTCTATGCGCGGTTTCGTGATAATGGCAATATCAGCATCTCGTTTTTAAGAATTTTCATCACAAAATTGAAAATTTAATTATGAATCGCTTAGACTGCATGATTTACGTACTTGTTAGATATAGTCTCAACCATTGGACTAAACGGTCCGGAAGTGCCAAAACGGCGCTTCTGCATGTGACCTCCAATTATAAAATATTTCCCGATACCGTACTGAAATATATATGCATTAGCTCAGGATATAACTATGGTTATTGTTCATGTTACAGTGAAAATTAAGGGTTATTGGCCGCATTTTACCTATTTGGAACATATTTTTGCTTTAAAAAAGGCACTGAACTTTAACAATATTTTGACAGTGGCATGGCCAAGGGTGGGACTGGGAGTGACGATCCCCCCCCCCCCAATATCCTTCAAAACTACCTTCAAGATATGTTTAAATCCGTTGAGAAACTGGGGGGGGGGGGGTAGCTCTGATCCGATTTTAAGTTAAAAACAGAAAGCTACCATTGTAAATAGATAGACAATTCTAGGAAAGCCATTAGAAAAAATGCATAGTTCAAAGTCGTAAAATGTATTATTTTACGAGTATTTTAAATAATGTTGTAATCTTCTGAATCCCGTAAAATCACATTTTAAAATTACATCGTTCAAAGTCCCAAAATTTACTAATTTTTGTGTATTTTATGATGACATGTTATAATCTTCTGAATTTTGTAAAATGCCGGAACCTCCTAGATTGTTCGCGCCTTTGGCGTTCAACTTCCCCCCTTTATTAAACCCTGACTACGCAGTGGCCTTAAATGTGTCCTTGTAAAAAATCCTTATTTTAATACCTGAGATAAAGATCGGCTGCTCTTGTTTTAACTAGAACTTAAAAAGGTTGTTTTAACATAACAAACGGTTCTAATCGGAGGCATTGTTATAGAATGGAAGAACTCGTCTTATCGCAACTGTACTCGAGTTACTTGGTTTGGAGTCGGGTTTTTGAGCTAACGACGGTTTTTCTACCGCTGATAATATCTGAAAGTTGCTTCGAGCTAACGGTGGAGAATGAATCTTCATAGGCGTCCAGATATTTATATTAGGGAGGTTTAGATAATAGAACGAGTACGAGTTTAAGTACGAGTTACGTCAACATTGCGCGTTTGGGGCGGGAAAAACCTCTGAAACTTGTTTTTGTCTACTCGTATAAGCCGAGATTTCTTCAGAAACTCGTACTGCTGAGAACGACTTTAAGATGGACGAACATAAGGAGCTTTTTATTTGGAAAAAAGAACACGGACAATACTTCGTCAGGGAACTTCTTGTCACAGAACAGTATATGTTCAAGCCAAAGTCAATCGAAAGAGGAGAGGCTTGGAGATGGTTAATGGAAAACCTAAACAAGCTCGAGAAGCCAAAGTTTCGCGTTACAGTGAGGTTTGTGAGAGATTGGTTTACAAAGATGGTGGAAAAATACAAAAAGCTCGAGAACGAGAAGGCCAGAGTGACGGGGATAACAGGTGCAGAATTTGACGAAGTTTACCAAGGGATGGTCGACATTTTCGACAGTATGGACGAAGCGAAAATAAACTGGGATAATGAAAGTGATCTGGAAAAGGAAAAGCAGAACTTAGAAAAATCAAAAGCAGAGCATATGAGGTAAAAGGCTACTGAAAGTCTGAGTGAAACTAGAAAGAGAAAAGAGGAGGAAGGCGAAGAAACGATCATGCCGAAGCGAAAAAAAACCTACTGAAACATTTAGTCTTTGTCAGGAAGGCCTGAAGATGAAGAAAGAAAACTTTAAAACAGAAATTGAGTTGAGTGAAGCAGAACTTGAAGATAGAAAATTGGCTCGTCAGTCCCAGGTACAATTGTCTCAATCTCAACATGAATTTTTTGCCAATATGCAGCTGCAACAGCAGCAGTTCATGTCCCAAATGCAGCAGCAAAATTTACAGATGCTGTTTGCTATGAAGGATTTGTTTAATAGCTCCTCGAAGTCTTCAAATAGTCAATCTAAACTTTAATAAATGTTCTTTCAAACATTCTTTTTAAAGAGCTGTAGTGAGCCAGGCATAACATTTTGTTAGTTAACATAATTATGTTAAATTTTGTATAAATGTTATTAACTGTTTTTCTGTATTGAGTTCCATGTTCAGGAGGATTGTGTTCTTCATATACAGCAGATTCACTTTTACAAACTGATATAATTTATTGTATTAGAGTGTATTATATGCCATTAAACATTTCACATATTTTAAAGTTGCTGTAATAAACACACAAATAAACAGCAAATGGCCAACATTTAGTAATAATAATGGAAACTTTATTGAAATTATATACGTATATATACAATTATAAATCTCACTAATTTAGGTAATTTATAATTGGCTACTTGAACCTACTTAATATTTATATATTAATAATGAGTATCCTTAGC